ATAAAACGTAAAAGGTTATTGGCCTTTTAGTGTGACCATAAATGATAAATAGAAAATAAATATTTTTGCAGTTAATTGCCACCACAAATAAATCAATGTATGGGAAACGATGCATCGATTTAAAATATTGATATTGACCAATTTTCAGCATTGATGTTGGGGTGTCATGTGTAGCCCTCTTGAAAAATTCTAGCCACCTTTCAGAGAATCCTCTCTGTGCTAGATGTGGATGATATCCAAAATTTAATATCTCAATACAGCACAGCCCAAATATCACAATATATGATATTACCACCGATATCATGTTATTGCATTTTATATTTCAATGGCTTCTTTATGATATGTATTTATATTTGTCACATGTCACAGTTCAATGTACAGTAAGCAAAGCAGTGAACTTAGGGTGGGACTGGGCAGCAGAGGAGACTAAGCAAAACTGGGTCTTAGCTTTGTGCTGTTGCTGCTTTTTCACTTACTCATATGAACTCTATTGTGATGAGGTCATTAAGATTAATGCAGCTCCTCTGTTTGTTCCACTGCAGGGATGTACTTGGTTTCAAAGCACATCAGGGAGAAGACCGACAGTGTGGTGATCTTTTCTGGAGAGGGTTCGGATGAGCTCACTCAGGGATACATTTACTTCCACAAGGTAAGTCCTGCAGTAATCTTCACACATAAATGTTTAGGATTTTCTAACCTTACTGTATATGGAGTAAGGTGTGGTGAAATGTTACAACCAATGTGAGACCTGGGATTATAAAGCCACTGTCAGGGAGAGAGAGGATGACATGCAGCAAAGGCCCATGGGTTGGACTTGAACCCGTGGCTGCTGCGGTTAGGACTGGCGGTAAGTCCATATGGTACACGCTACATTTTTTGCCTTTATTCTGATAGCATGGCGAGAGAAAGACAGGAAAGTCAGGGAGAGAGAGGGGATGACTGGGTCAGACTGGAACCCTTGTCGCTGCAGTAAGGTAAGTCCATATGGTACGCGCTGTACCAGGTGAGCCACCGACGTGCTCCACTGTACTGCATTTGACTCCAGATCAGATGGTCATGTGTTTGTCACATTGGGGTCAAAGCTTGAAGTTGCATCTCTGTCCTTTGGTGCAAATTTCCCCACTGTAGGACTAATAAAGGACTATCTGATCTTGTATTCTTTTGATCATAATAAATGATGATTGAGATTATAGATTTAACATTGTGATCTTGGGGGCGTGCATCCCAGTGGCTCACCTGGTAGAGCGCATACCACATAGACTTAGTCCTTACTGCAGCAGCTGGGATTCCAGTCTGACCCAGTCATCCCCTCTCTCTCTCTCTCTCTCTCTCTCTCCCTCTCTCCCTGCTTTCCTGTCTTTCTCTCGCCGTTGTATCAGAATAAAGGCAAAAAATGCACAACAAAAAAAAAAATACTGTGATCTGGTGGAAAAAGATGCCCATTCAATCTCATTGTTCACCCTGTTCTGCTGTGGCCTTGACTTCACTCTGACTGCAGTCAGTTCAGACTAGTACTGTGTAAAATCTGCTATCTTGACTGAGACCTGCCGTTAATTCAGACGTGGTAAGTTTCCATCACATTAACGTAAAGGGTTGTATGTCTGAATAAAGTGTGTGTTCCTCCTCCTCCAGGCTCCCAATCCCAAAGCAGCAGCGGAGGACAGCGTTCGACTGATGAAGGAACTCTACCTGTTCGATGTTCTCCGAGCTGATCGCACCACCGCTGCACATGGGTAGCACCTTCACTTAATTTCCCACCACTGCCAGTGCTAAAGAATTAAGGCTAGGAACACTCCTTAAACAAAATTACACAGCAATGTGTGTCTGAAACATGAACCAGTAAAAGATGTGTAGTTACCTCTCTGCTACAAAATGTTACATCCCTTCTGGGCAAATTTAAATTGTACTAGAAATTAGTTCAGAATTAATTCATTAGGGAATCGCACAGAGGCTTAGGCTGATAATCAATCATATTCAATATGGGGATATTTCCCATATATATCCCATATACATTTTCATAATACCCATTATTTTCTCTGGGCAGTTTTGTACAGTCTGTTCTGCTGCTGAGTCCTACCCTCATTTCACTGCTTTAAATAATGTACATTGTGCGTGACAAATAAAATTGCTGTTTAGCGGCAGCATTACTTATACCTGAAACATAACATACAATAAATAATAATATTAAAGGTCATATATTTGACACTTTTCCAGTGTTGAATTATAATGAATAATAAAAGTTTAGATGATACGATACAGTATATTTGTGGTTTTAAGAACCAAAAACCATCTCAAGGTAGTTTTACATCTCCTCTCTCAGACTTCTCTCTGGAGCTCTAGTAACAACAGGTCAGTGAGCCAATCCGAAGAGAGGAGGCTATGAGCCTCTCTTTTGATTGGTTGACTGTTTTCTGAGTAAGCAAATAAAAATATAGCAGATTTCAGGTAAAACACTCAGAGAAACCAAATCATGCAATGTTGGATGGTGGGTCCAGGTGGGTGTGGCTTGGGATGTGGCTGAAAGTGGGGACTGTTTTGTTGTGAAATCACAAAGTTCCAGAAGTCCTGACAGCTNGCTGAAAGTGGGGACTGTTTTGTTCCAGAAGTCCTGACGGCTGGTTTTAAGGCTGAGTTTCTGAATACAGGCTGTGTGCATTTCTCTGTGGACTGAGGCTTTGATACTTTCACAGTATTAATATAGAACCTAGACCTGATCTATAATCAAACAACACATGGACATCTACCTTTAGACTATATGGAGCTTTAAAAAAAAAAAAAAGCAACTACAACATAAAATACAACAACCCCACGTGTTGATCATATATTTGTGCTGCACTGTATTGAGATATTAAATTTTGGACATTGCCCAAACCTAATGGTGCAGTAGTGTCATTTACAGAATTTATCAACTGTGTAAAACTCAGAGTTGTTTAGTTTACAATGTTCCCCATTAAAGAAAGAGCATTTTTTCCTCATTAATTAACTTAACCCATCAATTGACTATTAGGGTTGTCGGCTGTTTGTTTTCTGTCAATCAGCTAATTGATGTACAAATTATTTCAGCTCTGTTGAATTGTGGGATGCTCTCTGTGTATGAATGCTGGTGGCAGCTCTTTAAACATTTAATTACGTTTTTTTTGTTGTTTCCATGAAAATATAATTTATCATCACTGTTTGAACCATCAGTGCAATTTCTGGGGTTTTGCTGTGCTTTTATTCTGGAAGTCATTTATGAATTTGGTAGAAAAACACAGACTTAATGGACTGATGTCAGAAAGTGCACTAATTAATACAATGCAGCAGCTTTTAGGATTAAAGATCTTGCCTTCAGTTTAATCACAAGAAAGATAAATCCTCCATGAACGGGAACAGCAGCAACATGATTGCAAAACGTCAACGGTAAAATTAATAATGCATTTTAATTACAGCAAAATGTGATTCATTAAACCTCAATAATGAGCCACAGGAATGAAATCCATAATAATCAGAAGGGTAAAACATTTGAGTCATGAAATAGAATCAGAACACTGATAATTGATAGTAGTGGAGCTAGCAACCCTTTTCTACCAGCTGATGATGTTGCTGTATCCTGCTAACCGGCTGTACGTTTGTTTCTCAGCCTGGAACTCAGAGTGCCGTTCCTGGACCACAGATTCACAGCATACTACCTCTCCCTGCCAGAGGAGATGAGGACTCCTAAGGTCAGTTGTCGTCTGTCAAACCACAACTCCACTGCAGATGTCTGATGAGCAAAACAGGAAGTCAGACATTAATAACAGTGCGGTGTTGTGTGTCGTGTGTAAGCAGCACGGAGTGGAGAAGCACCTTCTGAGGGAATCTTTCAAAGGTCTCAACTTGATCCCTGATGAGATTCTGTGGAGGCGCAAAGAGGCTTTCAGTGACGGCATGATGTCTGTGAAGAAGTCCTGGTACACCTGCCTGCAGGAGCATCTAGAGTCTATGGTATGTGAGACCAATAACACAGGAACTGATATGGTGATCAAGCTGATCAATTTGTTCTGCTGGTGTTACAGTCATTCCACAAGTTTTTAAGTGCAGGAAATCAGGATGATGATGATTTATATATCTTTTGACAAAACAATCAAACTCCATGGTCAATATAGCTGTTCTGGAGCTTTCAGTCATAGCACATGGTCTTCAGTTGTGGGGCGCTGTGAGGCTTAAATGTTGAGCTTTAAAGTTCATTCTTGACCTTGGAAACAGTCTCACTTCAAGGTTCACAGAGGAGCAGTTCTGGAGTTTTCAATCAAATCACATGGTCTTCATCATCAGCAGATGAAGTTTCACAGAGTGACAGTTTCTTTGTCACAGTGTTTACAGATCTGAATCTTAAAGCATGTAGCACTGAACCTGAGAAAATAGTCTTCATACTAAATCATTCTTCACTTAGAATGTGTTTGTAGTCAACAGTCAACTGCTTGAATGTGTGTGATGTAGATTTTAACACCAAGCTGATTTGATCATTTGTGACCCACCCACCCCACTCCCGCCGTCTGACCTCTCAGGTGAACGATGACCAGATGGAGAAGGCTCACAAGACATTCCCTCACAACCCTCCGTGCACCAAAGAGGCCTACTACTTCAGACAGGTGTTTGAGAAGCACTATCCAGGCCGGGCTGAGTGGCTCCCCCATTACTGGATGCCACGCTGGATCAACGCCACGGACCCATCAGCCCGGACCCTGTCCATTTATAAACCTGATAAAGACCAGTGATTGGCTGGAGAAGAGTCACTCATTAATGCGTTAGCGGTCTTTCTATTGTGTCACACTGAGCTGTACTTTGTTGATCAAATTTAACTCACTAGGAATTATTTTGTATTTACCGTACATGACGTTTGTCAGATTCTCTGATCTCACAGCACGAAAGCCTGTGTGCTAACCAAAACAATGCATCCAAGATGAAAACATTATAGTTAGACCTATTTAATTGAACCTAATTAGGAAATGTAAGTGCTTTACTACGGAAGCCGAGAAAGGCCACACTATCAAATATTTCCTTAGTAATTCTGACGAGCTGATGAGGACTGATCTGAAAATCATCTTGTATGAAAAGACAGTGTGATATCTGCCCTTAACTGAAATATTCCCCAACGCGTTGATCAATGAACATTTTCACTTCACAGCTCTAGAAGTTGTGATCCGCATACTGGCTTGGCACATCTGATCTCATTACAATGAGAAAAGGAGCTGTGTTATCTCCAGATAACAGGATAATTATCTCCTTTTCTCGGGATAACAAAACATTGTTTTTTCCTGATAACATCTTGTTATCTCGGGATAACGAGCTTTGTTATCTTTAGATAACAGGATAAAAGATTATTTGCATGTATGGCCTTTCTCATCTTCCGTTCTATGATGTAAAATGTGCATTTTATTTTATTAGTTAAATATTGCTTATTAGAAGTTCTGCTTCAGTTTTCTAACAGTTGTTGCTCTTAATTCTCTTTAGATTCCAACTATACTGAAGGTGCGTTTTGTACCTCTTGCAAAACATGGTGAAGAAACAACACAAACATTTCACGCTCTACTGGTTTGTGGTAGAATCAAGTTAAAAGCAAAACAGTCATTCTTTTACAGGTAGACTGTCAAAATACTCCAGTCACTGGTTTCAGTTGGTTTCATTACTACCTTGAGAGACTTCATGGGGCTAAATAGGTGATCCATCACAGTGAGCACTCATCATCTTTAGGGCACTATATAACCAGATGTGTGCAGCTGCATGGATGTTGTGGAGTTGAATTAGCTTCAGTCTCCTCTCACAATGTATACACTGTCGTCTTCTTAAATCCAAACATGAACAGGGTTCATGAACGCCACATCAGTTACCTGATGGAGGGTTATTGAATATATTTTAATAATTTCAGACTGTTGCATGACCTCAACCTGATCATTAGAAGCTTATTTAGTTAAAGGACCTCATTGTTTCTAATATTTACATATTAGTTTTGGGTTTAACCTCAGATGAATTATGTAGAGCTGCTAACACCAAAAGGCTGCGGCTCAGCTTGTTGACTTGTCCTGTTTATTATGCAATATGTGTGAAGGACATGTCGACAGTTTTTCATGTGTGGAGGTGTCTGAAACTGGCATGACTCCTCACACTGGTTAATGTTACCTCTGCTGACAAGTGTTAGGTTTGGGTTGGCTATGCAAACTTCAGACTAGTGTGTGTTACATTATGTTAGTGATAGAAATGTGTCATCCCTTGTCATTTGATTTGCTAATTAATTAAATTCTAGTGGATTTATTATATGATGAGGAATTAAAATGTATGTACCACAGTAGAAGATTTTATCATCCCTCACTTGTTTGATGGTTGAGAAGTGAAGTGATCTGACAGTATAATAACTCCATTAACTCCAGTCTGACAATGACACTCAACAAGTTGAACATTGTTCTAAACCAGGTATAATCATTACCAGCATCTTATTTTCTAGTCATTGTTTCTGTGTCATTCTAACTGCTCCTAAAATAAATTCCCCTCTGGCTCTGAAGTGTGTTGAGTTTGTGTGCAGCACCTCTGTCCACCACCAGAGAGCACCCTTATCCTAATGCTGAACACCAGCAGGGTTTGTCACATACGCTAAATGTATCACAAGGAATTCATGACTTGCAAGCTGATGTTGAACCAGTAAAGAAAATAATTTTAATATTTGTCAAACCACTGTAACACACAGGAATCCTGCCATGTCGAACCACGTGTCCGGCTGCAGTGCATGACGGCTCTTCTGAAGTCGGTTGAAGCCAAAATGAGAACCAGGTCCCGGTGTGTTGTATTCATAGAACAATCAATTGCAATTAAACAGTTATGAGGCACTATACAGTGACTTTGGCAGTGCAATTTTCAGCATACCCTGGGGTACAGCCTTGCTTTGATGGTCCACAACAACATTGAGTCTTTGTGGTATGGCAGATGGTGGAGAACGCTCACAGAAAACACTAACACCGATAATGAATCCCCACTCCTCTTAGCCCAATCTACCTTCTGCTGGGACAAATGAAACTGGCACAGGTACAGCACTGCTACATCACTACAATGTGGAAACAGAATCATTTTATTCGACTAACAGCTATACACAGTGGAGAAACCGTCAGGTGCCCCTCCCATGGATGACAAATGGCTGGATGAAAAGCAGGCGGGTGAACAGACGACCCTTTAGCGGCGCTTGTCGTACGTCTGTATTGTGCTCCACTCGTAGGACTCTGCAGAGGGAGAGAGCTCGTTAGCTTCAGAGCACACTTCGCTTTCTAGTCCTCAGAACCACCAGGAGAACTGAACTGAACTCACCTGGCTCCTCTTGGCTTCTTTTCCCCATCAGTCCGACGAAAGAGTTGACTTTATGCCCTTCAAAGAATTTAAAAAAATTTTACATTTTTAAAAGAATATTTCAGTTTGAAACACTTCACTTAGACCAATGTGTCAACCAACTACACACCACAAGCATCATTTAGTTCAGTCAAAAGTTCCCCCAGTACAAAAAAAAAATTACAGGAAAAAATCTTATTTCATTTATAGAGTTTATAATTAAATTAACTGATACTTTGGTGCCAAGTCAGTGGCAGAATTCTGAAAATGTGAAGGTACTTCTATAGAAGCCATGGTATGAAAGACACTGGATGTTGAAGGTCCTGCAGAAATGATGATCAGAGCAGCGTAATAAACCAGTGTCCTAGGCTGTTGCTATGTTTTTGTCTCCTCTATTTCATCACACAAACAAAATAAACTGAAGTTAAATTTTGAGACATTTTATCTAACTCAGGCTCAGTATGCTCATATGGTGCATATGCACCCTAACCAATCGGCCATCAGGTAGCACCAATTTATTTATTTTTTAACCATCTTATTGTCACCCGCTATTGTACCCATTTTCATACGTTTACAGATACAAGATTGAACATAAGAACAGCAGTAGAAGTAAACGAATTAGGTTTTATTTGGAACTATGAAATTCTAAATATGAAGGGCATTTTCACAAAAAAACAGGACAATTTGTGTTCCAGGAAAGAATATTAATTTTCCCGGACAGCTGCTCAAAAAAGAGAACAATCCCGTGAAAACCGGGACGGGTGGCAATTAGGAAACACCTCAAACGTATCTAAGCAGGTCAAGACACACATCCAGAAAGTGTCCTGACATGTTACCATTGTTGGTGAATTTCGATGGTTTACACAATGCCCACAAAAGCTAATGTTAGCTTGCTTAGCCTAATGCAGCGACAGCTCATAACATGAGCTTGGTGCTGACAATATTAGCAGGCTACAGTTTTCAGTTTTTTTCTGTGGAAGTTAATTTGCTTTTGAGAATTGCGGAATTTAGTGGTGATCACTACCAAACATCTGGTCTCGTTACATCCCTGCTTCCAACATCATGGTGTAAAAGTTCTGTTGGTTCGTGTTCATTTCTGCGCCTGATTTTTGGTTTTTGCAAATTAGCTTCAGTCTAGTTTTCGTCAGGGACGTGGTCGTCTCATTTTCATCACACATCTTGACTTTTCATGTCTTCTAACTGTCTTGAGGCTACAGCTGTCGCCATCTTTGTGTACAGTTACCATGGTTACAGTGTCACTCTGCTCTGCATTAACACAGACTGACTATAAATCCAGTTACCAACTGTTTTCTGTAATCTGATCGAGCACAGTCATTCCCGCTAACCTGGCTTTACTGCAGCTACCTGTGCTGTTCACTACAGAGCTGGATTCACTCACCTGTTCACTAAGACACTGTTCAGTTTGAGAGGAGACGCTGTATCATCAGACAACATCAATACAGCCAACATGAAGAGCAAGTTTTGGACACTACAGACAGCTGAGTGAAAATAACGTTCGTTACCTCCACATCCACAGCACCTGATAGCTACATTAACTGAGCTTTTATAAATGTCGGAGCTGCCTGCATGTGTTAGTTTGTCTCAGCTGTTTTGTTGCTGCTCAGTATTTAATTCTCAATGGATTACTTATATTCACAGCAGAGCAGCAGGTCAAGTGGCTCCATCACCTCCTGAACAGCGGAGAAAACTTTTATTAATCAGATACAGAGATTCAGTGTCGGCTCCCACAGGCTGCTGCATTACAACAACCCAAAGTATCTGGCTTTCATATTTAGTTTTCATATTGTTTAGTTTAGTTTATTTAGTGTCATCATTGTTTTTAGCTTACTTTTTATTCAGTTTTAGTTGTCAACAAATATTTTTGACTTGGTTTTCAATTAAATTAACACTACAAAATACCAGCATTTTAATCAAATTTAATCAATTAATACATTTCAAGATATTTAGTCAGTGTTTCCAAACAGTTTTGGCTGGTGAACCTATGAAGCAAAGCTTTGTTTACTTGTAAACCCTGACCACCGGTCACTTTAATGAACAAGTGATAGCGAATAAGAGTAATTCAACTAAAGTTTGAAAAAAAACTAAATGTAATTTTGTTCAGTACAGATGTTTCTTTCTACTTTCCTTCCCTGTTAAACATATTGACCTCTCAGGCTAATCGTCAGGGTGGAAACCACTGATTCAGTCAAAAACCCATCATGGGTAATTTGCTGTTGAATGGCGCTTCAGTCCTGATTTTACAGATTTCACTTCAGTCGTGTGAGATGAGACCAGCTCTGTTCAGTGATCTGGGTTCTGTCAGGTTCACAGTGACATGAATGTGACGGACAACTGCAGACTGACTGTGGCTCCTGTCAGCCACAGTAATGGGTAGTGAAATGAGCGTGAGGAGGAGCGGGGCGGCGGTACAGAGAGCCCTGAGGGACTATCCTACATTACAAACATCAATATTTGCATTAGACTAATGAGAGTCGACTGTAAATGAAAAAAATATACACTGAACCTTGAACATACCAGAGGAATTACAAATATGGTCCTGCCTTGTATCAGTATTTTTGTCACTAATATTTTGAAAAAGAAAAAATTGTGTAAGCGCATCAGGGGTAGAAAGCATTGTAAGTGAGGGGTAAAATGCGTAGCTCCCTCCATCCATCACAAGCGTAAACAATCCAATTTAACTCTCAGATGTCCTTGGGGCATTGATCCCAGCACTATCCCCCTCCTTAATGATGAGTGACTTATAGTCATGCCTGCATAAGAGGAATAAATTAGATGTATACTTCCTTATGTCGCGCTGGGTTGCATCACTGAGTGGGTGACTAATTTAGATAAAAACCACCTCACAGAGAGGAGAAGAGGAAAATCCCCTCCTCCTCATTCCCTTTTTCTCCTGCATCTTTATCTGGTTCTTGTTTGTCCCACACAGACGTCTGCTGTGCACCGCCGTCCTCACCGACACACCAGTGTTCAAAAGAACAGTGGTGGTGAAGCAATCTGTGGTTCCTATCAACTAATTAAACCCCGTCAAACTGTTTGCTCCCTCCAATTTGAGCCCGCTTTCTTAACCAGGGACAAAAATATAAATATTCAACTCAATTAGCAGCAATGCTTGGAAGATTTAAATGATTCAATAGGTTTATTTTAACACTGATGCCATGTTCTTTAGCAGGTTTTAGCAGCAAAGTGGGTATTTTTTACTTAATATGTATAATTTACTACTTTTAGGCCGACAAAAGCATCAATGAAGTGTGGAGACAGCATTGAAAATGTCATGTTGGGAAACAATAGACTGATAAATGAATTGTAAAATATGAAATATCCAAATAAAACATTTCTTTTAGTTTCTTTTTGGTATCTGAGGGGTGGGGGTGGGGGGGGCGGCCATGCACAGGATCATTTCTAAAGAGCCTTTAAATCCGTGAAGTTATGAGAAAACATGCAAATCACCAAATATGGAGACAGAGAAGAAAGATCACGGCAAAATGAGCAGAAATGAGGGAATGAGCACAGATTTTTCCAGTAAATGATCATATTGAGTCTTCAGCTGGAGCTCCACTAAATTTGAATGATTTCATCCTGATTGTGGAAGATTTGATGCAAACAGCACGGACGGAAGATTTCATTCAAGAGCATTTAAATCGTAAATTACATAATAATAAGTCAATGAAAGTGTGTGCGCGGTACTTACTTTTGCGGGTGATCTGTGAATTTGCTGTGCGAGGAAAAGACAGGACAAAGTTTAAAGACAGGTCCACAGAAGTAAACACAAAGTGTGCGGTGCTGAGAAGCAGCTCTCACCCATGGAGCGCTTCCCCATCAGACCGATGAACTGATGCGGCCGCGGCTTTCTCGTCATTCTCAGGAGGATTTCTCTGAACGGGTTGTTAGAGGGCCAGCCGTCCTGAGGGGGGAAAATAATCTCATTGAGTGTTGACAGAGACCCAGGCTGGCAACACACCGTGTCATTGTACAGTCCCTGTGTCCCTGTGCCACCCAAATGTTGAAATGTCTGTGTGAAGACAAAACACAGCAACAGCCAGCCTGACTGAAAAGTAGGGCTGAATGATATGAAATTAATATTATATTGACATTATTTTTGGTTGATATTGCGGTTGACGGTCATTTTTGCATTTTCACTGAAAAAAATATAAAAATGATGATAATGTGATTTTTGTTCTTTTACATGTGGAGAATATGATTTGTAGGCCGGGGCGTCATTCATGTTGTGACACTTTTCACCTTTATCAAAAGACATTGCCTTTAGTGATTTGACTATTGCACTTGGCCTTATTGTGATTTAGATAATATTTAGATGAATTGTTCTGACTCACTGAGAAGGTAATTTATCTGGTATTTGACATTTTTTCTCTTAATTATTGCCCTTCTACTGATGAATTAAAAAGAAGCCAAATACCTGACCTGGGTATATGATTGTCATTATTTTGAAAAATGTTATTTGAACCCCTGCACCTCCATCTCCACCAGATAATCCAATAAGCCTTGAATTTTGCACTTTCATTAATGTTTCTATTTCCATCTCAGGATGTATTTCTACAGTATGCATTAGTCTGACTGAGAAATGGTCCTAGGAGCCACTAATGTCCCGCACACTAAGTTGTAGTGATTTATCATGGGGCTCATCATCTGCAGAATGGCCCCGGCCCACAGTTTAAGGTATTAGCTGAAGAGCTTGGCTCGTTTCCAGCTCGCAATGTCAAATACAGGATGTGTGTCTCACATCAGTGGAGATCCTCTGGGTTTCAGCTCCCACTGTGCACTTAAGGCTTTATTTAATTTCCTATTGGCTGGCTGTTCTTCAACAATCTTCATCTTCATCTTACTGAGACTGTTCCGCCTGTTTAATGATACTAATCTGATAGAAACTCAGAAGTTTTAAAGTCCATTTTAAAATGATTATTTCAAAATTATTCTTTATTTCATCAACTGTTACATTCATTTGCTGTATTCTGTGTATCTCCAGATATTGAGTGTATTTGACAAAATTTTAAATTAACTTAAATTAACTGGACCTAGAAAACACAAAATTGTCTAAAAGATTTCTAGTCACAGTAGGTTCTAGTTTCCACTACCAAGTCTATTTAGTCTAATTAGTTAATATTAAGTCATGTTCAGATCAAACACTGTGGATGAGATGGAGAGAGTAAAGAATGAGTAAAGTCCATCAGACCTCATTATAAAAGATCTGGATCAGAGTAGGTGTCATTATAACCTACAGGTCTAATATGAGACCCTCAGGTGCAGAGATACACAGCACTGTATGCTGGTTAACTAAAACAAGCTGAACCTCCAGTCTAATCTCACTGACTCACCTTCTGTCATATGTTGGTTAAACCAGTTTACAGTAGGTCAGTAGCTACACAGGTAACTAGAAGCCATTAATAAGGAAGAAGTGTCATTTATGATGAAGTGTAAACTACCTGTATTTGGTTGCTGCTGGTCCAGTAGTCCGCTTCTTCTCTTGGCTCGTTTTCTTCGCAAAAAACTTGGACGACGGCGAAAAAAGCCATTAAAACCGGTAAAAGCAGCAACTTCATGACGCCAAACCTGTTTTATTTTTTTTGCAACGCAGAAAATTCAGTCAGACTCACTGTTTATATATGAAAATAACCGTCGACAACAACTAGGAAAGAAAAAACTAAAGCAGAGAGGTTTGAAACTCGACCAACAGATGTGCGCACTGTGTTCTCCCCTCACAGATCAGCAGTAGTCCATAATGGATGCGTGCGTCAAAGCGCTGTACCGGGCTCCCGCCACTGTCTCCAAAGCTCGCGCGCTCAGCCTCTGCAGCAACTTCTCCGGTCTTGTGCGTCCTCCTGTCAAGAGAGGCTCCTATATAGCAGCCGGAGCAGCGTTGCTTAGTAACGCCATCACAGTAATGTGAGTAATGTCGTCCAGTCACCAGTTTACATTGTAACGATACTTTCTTAGTTTAGTTACCCGCCAGAGCACTTAAGTCATCACGAGCTGTAAATGATGTGCGTCACCGGTCAGTTCACCTCACACCGAGTCTGAATGTGATCCACTTTTATTATCAATATCAGTAATTGATTGTAACATCTGTTATCATTCAGACTGATAAGAATGTTTGTCTAATAATGGTTTAATAATTTCTCACATAAAGGAGCAGGCTGATAATGAACGGGCCTCATGTCTAACATGGTTAACATTTGTATTTGGAAATGAATCTGAGCTCATATTTTATAGCACAGTAAAAGTTGCAGCTCTAAATCTCTGTAACCTCTCATTAATTTCCTTCTGTTTACATCTTAAAAGCTGAACCTACCTGTGTAGGAAATGAAAACTTATATCTACATTCATACAATAACGTAAGGCACACGTAGGTCTGTGATGACGCACTTGGTGTTGCGTAGCTTATAGGCTTAACTTCATTAAAGTCTGTACATTTATATTTTAAAACCATATTAACTAATTAATTGTATCGTTCTTATACTGAATTTTTTGCTGTCATACACACACACACACACACACACATATATATATATGTACACACACACCCAGTGTTTTATTGATTTGGTTCCATACATCCTCCTCCTACAGCTCAGAGAAAACACTGCGTACAAACCTCTCTCTTCATATCAAAGCCTGAATGAGAAGCAGACGGGCGTGTGACCTGAGGGTGCCACTGATTTCCATTAGAAAAGCTTTTTTTTTTAAGTGTGGGATGTTGGGGATGAATAGAGGACTGCACTGCCACACCAAGTTCAGTGTCCATGCACCTCAACAAGCGCTTGATTTGCCCAAGTGCCTTTATTCCATTAACAATAAGTTGATTTTATTTACCCATGTGCTATTGGGAAATGCAAATGTTTTCCCTGTGCGGGGAATGGACTTCAGTCTGTCTTCTATAGCAAGTGTTATTCATCCATTTGTTCCATTAATCTAAGATGCGGCACCAATTTACATAAGCAGGAGTATTTCTGAAGGATGCTTTGGCTCTGTTTGACCGTCATATTCTGTATATTTTGTTGATATAAATTCTGAGAGCCAACAGCATCAAATTCAAACATGAACAGGAGGATATTAACTTCTCTAAACCTGTAATCAGGCCAGGTTGTGGGATTCAATATGTCACATGAAGTGAACAAGTCCTGTTGAACTTGGTGTGCAGGTGAAGAGACTGTGGATAGGTCTACACTAACATTCATAACTTAGCTTTAACGGGGGGGGGCTCCACGGTCACAGAGCCACTCTGGACTGGAATTTAATCATCCTCACCACTGTGACAGCTCATCCGATTAACAGATGGAAGGGGGAGGTGAGGAGAGAGGGCTGGAGAGAAGGAGGTGACGGAGCTGTTGGAACCGTGAGAGGGAGTAACCACGAAGGAGGAAGAGGACTGAGGAGGAAGACATAGGAGGTAAAGTGAGCAGGGCACTGCTCAAGTTGGGGCACAGAGATAAACGGATATGCAGATTATATGGGGAGATGTGGACTGATGGGACAAATGGGACATCGGTCCACTGAGGCCAAGAGGCGTCTGCGGCCGTTACTGCTGTGTGGGTAATACAATCAGCTGGATTGCATAGCAGGTCACTGTGGACACTTTAACTTTGATAAGGCATCCAGCAGCAAATGGGACTCTGACATGCTGATATAATGCATGAATACATTAGAGCAGAAGTCGATTATGTGCATGGAATGAATCCAAAGCAGATCATTTGTTGAGTCAAAGCAGCGCTGTGCCAACAGTTAATGCATGTGCTTGAATTAGAAAATCCCTCGAAATATTCAATTTATATTTCAATTCAAACAGCACGACGATGCTAAATAAAAACAGAGATGTCAAAATATTAATTATTGGTTAAACTGCAGTACTTACCATGTACTGTATGTAACGTAATATCAACACTGCCAAATGCAAGAGGGAGGTAATTATTTTTACTGTAATTACACTGTCTGGCTATTAATGTGGTGATATTTTATTGATGTTAAAATGTGGTATCGTTACCATCTCTGTGAGACTTGACAAAAAGTGCACCATAATGTTTTCATTCTTTCAAATTAAAGATGCTGTGATAATTCACCACATGTTCATTTTCTCTGTGGGTGTAACAAGCTTGCCAGATATTTCACTACAGGAGCTCATGCAGCTCATTTTCCAGCACGAGAACCTGATGGCGGCGATCGATAAAAACAAGACACTCCAACATGTCCGCCAAACTGAACCATTAAGCCCGTCCACAAAACTGTCAACACATCGTCAGTACCTTCCACAATGCATTCGACCAGAACAAGGATGATTCACATGATGGTTTTCTGATCTGATCTGCCTCCTCTGTTGTTAAGGTTTAGCTTAGTAAGCAACTACTTGGTTTAAAGCTCCATATTTTCTTCTTCTCCTGTGTTTTATTTGAAGTGTTAATCCATAAGAAGATATATTTGTGGTTTTAAGAACCAAAAACCATCTCAATGTAGTTTTAGATAGCCTCTCTCAGGCTTCTCTCTGGAGCTCTAGCAACAACAGGTCAGTGAGCCAATCAGAAGAGAGGAGGCTCAGAGCCTTTCTTCTGATTGGCTGAGTGTTTTCTGACTGATCCAATAAAAATATAGCATATTTCAGGTAAAACACTCAGAGAAACCAAATCTTGCAAGGTTGGATGGTGGGTCCAGGTGGACAGGGCTTGGTGGCTGCTTAGTTGTGACATCACAAAGTTCCAGAAGTCCTGACGGCTGGTTTTAAAGGGGACATATTATGCAAAATGCACTTTTCCATGGTTTTCTATCAGTAATATGTGTCCCCGGCCTGTCTACAAACCCCCCAAACATGAGAAAAGTCCATCCTCTCCGTCTTTTGCTTGCTCCGCCTTTCAGAAAATGTGTCCTCACACAGGCCAATTGGAGATTTTCCCTTGATGTCGTCATGAAGGGAAATAAAACCTCCCCCAGGTGGGTGACACTCCCCGAGCTAGGTGTGTGTTACGCCCTCTGAGTCCGCCTTGCAGCTGCTATCGTTTATTCCCTCGCATCACGGCTCCGGTAAAACTGTGTCGAAGGTACGAGCGATGCACGCTAGTTGCTCGGTTGTTGACTGTACAAACCAACACAGAAGTCTTTTTACCCCCTACGTCCGACGATCTGAAGACCCAGTGGATTTGTTTTATTTTATTTTTGATGGAAATGTCCCATGTAACGAGGGCCAGTACAATGTGGGATTCGCTACATTCTGAAGATAAAGCATGGATCAGCACCGACTGTCCGAGACCCAACTTCAAACTTGGGAGCTGTAAGTTTCACCATTTTATGTTGCTTTACTGTATGTACACGAGAGCCTGTTGCGTGTGTTGTTAGCATGGCAGCTAATGTGGTTAACGTTTTGCCTCATCCATACAGCCGGGTATAGCTGGGTACAGATTGTATGCAATTCCTCTGCTTGGTATCGCTGTGTGACGTTGATTAGAGCCACCCTGCTAACTTTATCACACTTGAAAGGCGTTTTAGCTGTCTGTAAAGTCAAGCCAGTAAAATTCAGACTAAACATAGGCTTTGCAGCGATTAGCATAGGTGTCTGGGCTTGTTTGTTAGTGCTGTGAAAGTTAGTATTGAGAGTCATGCCTTATGATGGCCGTTTTAACGTTTATATCATGTTTAAAGATACAGTGCCTGTGGGGAATATCTAGATAAGCGCACCAGTTACAGGGAATATGTGAAAGGGGATAGTCTGTAATACACATTTCTTGCATTTTGCACATATAGTGAGCTATTTGCAGCATTTACAAGCTTTTGAAAACCCAGTTTACACATAATTGAGTGCATTTGTTGTTATAATTTTTGCACTGCTTGCAGCTGTTGCCATAACTACACATTTGAGGAGATGTTGGTGTAACCTCTGTTTCCTCTGTTCAGGCCAGCACATCAAGTGCATCTATACAGCTTCCTGCAACAAGGGATGTTGCATGCCAGACTGACCCACTGTAGATGTGTACTGTAGGCACACAGTTATCCTTGAGGACTCTTCAGCCTCACATCAGAAGTACAAGGTCTGTAGCGTCTGAAGTGCATCTACTTTTGATAAACCTAACAGTCATTTATTCAGTCTTGGAATGCTGTGCAGGTAAGTGAAGCTGTGTTACTTAGAACTTGTGAGGTGTGTAGGCTAAGGTTTCTGTCAACATTAACATCTTTGATTTTCTCTTTACTGTACTCCAGACTCTACCTGGCTGCCATGTACTACAATGAAAATGCTGAGCGACCACAAGCCCAACAAAAAGAAGGTGAACCACTGTTCAAGGTCCCAATTTCCAAAGGCCATGAAAGGGAGAATGCAGAGCTACACCAGTTAAGACTGAGCCGACATTCTATAAGTTATATATTTTATTTTTCAACCAAAAATGTTTTGTACACATTGTATTAAGTATTGCACGTATAATGTTATGACAGTTCCACCAACAACAAAATACAGAAAAGAAAATGTCAGGAGGTATTTAGAAACAGACTTTCAGCCATTGTTTATGTAAAAAAAACCAACAAAAAAGTGAAAAATGTAAACAAAATCTTTTGTGTTTTATCAAACAGG